AAGCCTAATTTGGATAGCTTAAAAAGCAAGAGTGGTATATCAACTCTGTCAAATGCTTTAATAAAATCAGTACATAGCGTTTCTACATAGTTTCCTTTATCCATTGAGTTTAAACAATATGTATCAAGTTGGTAGAATACATTGTCATTAATGATGGATTCGAATAATTTAGGAATGCTTAAGCAACTCCACGGTAACTTTTTATATCAGACTTTTTACCACTTTTAAAAATTGGAATTAAAAATTATTCCTCCCAAATCGGAGGAAGTACACTCGACTACAAGGATAAATTAAACAGCCAGAATAAAGGTTTTGCTAGCTCCTTCGAAAGTGACTTTAAAAAATAGGTAGTAAACCATCCGGTCCAGCACCTTTTGAAGCATATAAGGTTTCAAGACCACGTATAATTTCCTTGAGAGTTAAATTATCAACTGCGACATCATTGGCTCGGGGAGATACGAAAAATATTGATAATCTCGCTAATTCTCATCGTTAATTTTATAAACGTCCTGAAAGAAGTCAGCAAATAAGTTACTAATATGACTAGGAGTATTGCCCAACCAACTGTCTAATTGCATTTTCGATGGTAAGCTCTTGAATTTTTGCCTTTTTTCAATATAGTTAAAAAAGGATTTTGGGTTTGACTTAATGTTAGTTTCAATCTTTCTATTGTACTCTTCATATGCATTTTCAATTTCTAAATTAATTTGGTCGGAAATGGTAAGAAAATAGGTAAGATTTTCATCATTTTTTCTCCTGTACGCTTTATGAGCATTCTGCTTTCTATTTCTACGATTTATTATCTGTCTTGGTTTTGCATTAGCTTTTTTTTTCTTTTGCTTCATGGGCACTGTCTGTTCTTGAATAGAATAAATAATCAACTGCATCATCACTACCGATTACAAATTACCAATCTATACTTTTCAATTTATTTTTGATAGCTCCATAGTCTGCCTTACTGAAATCAAAATAGGGGTCTGACAAATTATTATCCACCACTGCGGTTTTTTCAAGTATCATTATGGAGTATTCAATAGCAGTGTGGAACACTTCATTTTTCCAAAGAGGAGAAGATGACTCTGATAAGCAAAAATTATCAGTCATGGTTGTAAATAGCAAATCTAAATAGCAATGATTTTGATTTTTTATATGATTTACTTAATTTCTGAACATTTGTCAAACAAAGCATAAGTGTTTCATTTTCCCCCATGATCGGAATCAAAATGGATTAATTTTCGTCATCTACAATAAAATTACTTCTTCTTCTTCTTCTTCGCATTTCAAGCTTATTGCATATCGCATATTAGCTTATTGCGTGCTCTCAACTTAGTGTTCTACTAGATGCACTTCCACAGTTATTAATTGAGAGCTTTCGATGCCTGTACCATTTTTGCATTGGTATAATTGTGTGGCAAGTCCAATCATACTTCTATGCCCAGGGAAGTCGAGAAATTTTCCAACCCGAAAAATTCCAAGGCCGGACCGGGAATCGAATCCAGCCACCTCCAGCATGGTCTTGCTTTGTAGTTGTGCCTTTACCGACTGAGCTAAGGGAGGCCCCGACAATAAAATTAGCTGCCCGTTGATTAAAATCTTCGTATATGTGAACGTTTTCTTCAGCCTCGAATTCCAACATATTACTGCCAGCAAGACCAACAAATTTTTCAAATGCTTCTTTTTTGGCATGTTCTGGTGGAAAACACACAAAAATTACATTCACTTTGATGGCGCTTCTCATTCTATTAAAATTCTGGCAATAATTGACAGTTGAAATCGTGGAATAAAAAGGACAGAGGGATCACATCAATCAGGCTGGCAGTGATGAAAGTTGCATAATTGAGTGCATTTCGTGTTTTAAGCGATGAAAAATTGTTGTTTGTTTATGGTTGTTTTTATTGTGTTGAGCAAAAATCATGTACAACCTATTGAACTTCGGTAGAAACTCCGAATAAAATCCAAATTAAAATTAAAAAAATATTTTACATTCCTGACTCCGTCAATCCGGTTAAGAAGAGTAAGAAGCTTGATTGTCAAGTCCCATCCCGGGATTTACGTATCTTTCTTTCCCTCTGTTTCTTCACCAAATCGAAATTCCCGAGCTTTCTTCCTAATTCCACCCATAAGGTTTTTACAACGGTTAAATCGACATTTTTTTCTGCCTTCAACCATGATTTCAACATTTCCTGCTACGTAGGTAGTTATAACTTTAGGATACTTACGGAGTTCGTGCTTTATTGTAGCCCAGTATCTTTCGATCGGCCGCAACTCCAGTGTGTTTGGGGGATTGAAATCCTTCGGCACCAAATTAACCCCATTTGTCTTGTACCACTCCAGAACGTCCTTGGAGTATTTACAAGAGGTTTGATGATCTGGCCATATAATTGTAGGAACGTTGTGTGATTTGAGAAACGGTAGCAGTCGCTTCTTCAGGCACTCATTCATGTAGACTTGGCCATTTACGGTTGTAGGTATTACGAAAGGCTTGCTCCGTTTTCCGCACGAACAAATCGCCTGCCAAATCATGAATTTCTTGGGGAACTTCACTAATTTTTTTGGAGTTCATCGAATGTTTCATCGTCCATGAAACAGCAGGGTGGTTTTGTCAACATTTGTGTGTACAGCTTACGAGCCCGCGTTCTGGCTGTCCCATTCTGTCATTCATTGCGATTTGGTGCTTTCTGAACCTTGAATGAACGTAGTACTGCTCGTTTATCGTTTTTGTCAGGTGCAGTTTTTTTGCGACATCCCGAACGGAATAGTTGGGTTTGCGTTTGAAGGCAGCAACCACTCGCTTGTGATCTTCAACGTAGTACAGAACACTTTTTCTTGCACTCAATTGCTTTCGGTCGACAATTAAACGTTTTATGACACGAAAAACAGTAGATTGTTGGATTCCCAACATCTTTCCGATAGCTCGGTGTGAAAGATGTGGGTTGTTGAGGTGAGTGTGCAAAATTTTCGCTCGCACGCGCTGTTCCTTCGAGTTACAGCTTTTCGAAGGTGATGCAATTTAACGGTGGACACCCTTTAGTAACGAAGACCTTAGAATAGTCCAGGAGATTTTCCTTTAACATTCACTTAGAGTTCTGCTCAGCATTCACTTTGTATTCTAACCAACCAATCACTCTAGAAATTCCATACATTTTCTGAAATTCTCCTCAGAATTCTTCACTCCGAACGCTTTTTTGGATTCTCTAAAAATAACACCCAAATATCTTTGGAATTCTTCTCTGAATTCCTTTGAAATATTCCTCAAAACATTGGGATTATCCTTTGAATAATTTTATTTTTTTATTTTTCTTCGAATAACCTTGAAATTCTTTTCAGTAAGTAACCCTTTGGAATAACGCTAATTGAACTCATTTCAGATCTCTCATTGAAATTCACTCATTCCGTTGAAATTCTACTCACGCTAAAAGTTTCCTACGAATTAAATTGCAGTTCTCCTTACAAATTCCTTAGATTGCTCTTCGAAATATGTTTGCAAACTCTTCTGGTATTATTTCCGAATTTCTTTGATGTTTTTCAGGAGTTTTTCTCTGATATAATTGTAATCCTTCATTTAGCAAACCTCCCCGTCCTAAATCGGCTCTTAAAATATCCATGGTATTATGGTTCGGATTTATTATTCCTCACAAATTTCTTGAAATTATAGTCAGATTGCCCGTGGAGTTGTCCTTTGGGGTTCCCAGGAGTTCTGCTCAGAGTTATCATGGAATAATCGTCAGAAATTTCAATGAGATTCAATTGAAATACACTTTGAATCCAATTCAGGATTTCCTATAAATTCTACTATGAAATTATTTCAAGTTTGACATGATTTCTTGAATTAATTTACATCAGATCATCAGATTGCACTTGGTGTTTTCTCAAAGACTTGTTTCCAACTCCATTGGAATGATCAGAAATTATAATCAAATTCCAAGAGCTTTAAAACTGTGCAGTGGATTTAACTCTAGGTACTTGAAATTTTTGTTAAGTATAATTCCTTTTAGCCAAGAATTTTAAAAACTTCTTCAAGCTGAACATTTATGGAAAATATGCGTATTTCAGATCAAAAAAAAAATCTCTAAAGCCTCTGATTTTTAAAATAATATTTGTCACTGAAGAGTTGTCCGTTGTGGATCAATTAAGTTAGATTACTGAATGAAGATAATGAGGATAATTAAATGCTTGCATTATAAAATGCGTTGCATTCTTAAAAATATCCTTAGAAGGAGAATTTGAAAGTTCTCTGTGCAATGATGACATTCCCTGAAAGTTCCAGGTATATTCAGGATTAATAAAATTCCCTGTGAATTCCAGGTTTTCTTCATGTAGCAGACGGCCGGTCATGGCACATTGTACCAGTGGACGATTATGAAGTATTGTGAACTATTTAGATATGTCACTCATTATTCTTTTGTTGATGGTCGCCACGATTTTGATCGCGTTACTGCCATTTTGATCTTGTACATGTGGCGCCAAATGCAAACATTTTCCCAACTTCTGAATAGCAAAAGTTTATGATAAATTGTATCCTTCTTTAATTATTGATTCTGTTAGTATGAGTCACTTCAATAGCCGGATCCTGTAATAATCCAATCCGTTCTTCGACAAGATCGAAATGGATCAATGAGCTCATTTGATAGTTAAAGATATCTTCGAAGTGCATAGGACATTCACGTTGCACCCTCATTACAATGCTTGTTTTGTTCAAAAACCATTGTTGCGTAGCCTTCATTGCAAAATAAGAACACCAATCAACTTTAGCATCAGAACAATGGAACGTATTTATCCAATACCAGCTGCTGATATACAATTTCAATGCAGCTCATTCATACAACTCGCTAGAAACTGTTTCTAATTGTCTCGATTAACCATTTTCTGCAACACAAATGAGAAATTTTTGCTTTAAAAACGGCCTGAATCGACAAGATGTTATCATTTCAGTAAGAACGATGAAGGTTATCATATCTCGTAAGTCGTATCCAATTACCATGTTCTGAACACTTAATCAGCATACAAAACTTATATCAACAGTTGCTCTGACAGCGCTCGTAGCGGTTTGCAGTGGGCAAACCACCAACTATTGTACCGCGGGCTTATGTTCAGCTGGTAAAACTCATATTGCGTGCAATGGGCTGACAACTCTCAGCAGTACCTGTGGGGCAGGTGCTTCTGAAGCGACCCTGGACAGCACTAAGAAGAACTTGATCGTGAACGTTCACAACCAATTGCGTAACACTGTCGCCCTGGGAAAACAGGCCAACGGTGCGGGCCAATATTTCAATCAAGCTGCCAAGATGGCTACGTTGGTAAGCATATCTTTTGGAGCGATAATTCGTATTGATTTTAAATTAATTCCCCTGTCTTTTAGCAATGGGACCAAGAGCTGGCCGATATCGCTGCTGCCAATGCAAGAAGTTGCGTTTTTGGACATGACAAGTGCCGCAATACGGCTACCATGAAATACGTTGGCCAGAACATTGCCATGTCTTCGTACTCCGGTATGAGCTTTACCGATGAGCAATTAATAACCGGGTTTGTCAACAATTGGTTCAAAGAAAATAAGGATGCTACCGCATTGCAAATGGCAAGCTATCCTGCTAATTATAAAGGGTGAGATTGCGATTTGATCGAAGTCAAAATGTAAGAGTTAAATACTTATAATGGTTTTATTGCAGCCCTACAATCGGTCACTTCACCCAGGTTGTATCGGATCGCTCGAGCAAGGTGGGATGCTCTTTGGTGAGCTACATTCAGGACGATTTCGTCAACCAGCTGTTTGTGTGCAACTACGGGTTAACCAACATTGTCAAACAACCAGTCTACGTGGCAGGAACGGCGTGCTCCAAATGTACTACCGGTTGTAATACCGCATATCCCGGCCTGTGCAGCGCAGCCGAACCCATTACCAACAACCCCTAAGTGGAAAGGATGTAAATTTATGAATCGTTGTTGTGTTTGAACATGAAAAAAAAAAGTGAATCAAATTGTGTTCTAATGGTCAGTCATCATTTCATTCAAAATACAGCAAAATTTTTACACAAAGCTTTCTATTCTATATCAGTGTTTTCCTACTTTTCTTCTTCTGATGTACACATTTTCCCTTGACACAGTAAACCATGCAACCGGTTGACAACGGTAACGGCAATGGCCACTAAGGTTCCACGAGGGCAGCCACCCTTTTTCCACTGAAAATAAGTATGAACGAATCAGTGTATCAAAAAGTGGGTAAACATTTTTGTTCACCAAGCTATCCTTGTGAAAGTGCTTCATACGGGTTTATGGACACTCACACCATCAAAGCATGGTACCAATGTAAACTGCATGCCAATCTTGCCTTCTACCGCTAGGTGTACTAGTGTTTACAAAAATAATATGGAGCCACTTTTGGATCCGAAGTTCCACTTCTGTTCTGTACCCTTTCTCTACAGCAGGAAGTCTCAGCGTTCTCGGTGGAAAACAGTGCAGCAAAATATCAATATGCTGAATTTCACTAGCCACCTAATGTTAGAATTTCCACCAGTTAGAATATCAATATCATTCGCCTCAATGTCCGTGCATCATGATGACATGACATTGACATCGTAATGGGACAACTTTGAATATCAGTTCAACCTCAAATGTTTCTTATATCCGCCTGTTAATGGAGTACCGATCTTTACCAAACTTATCAGTAATATTAAAACAAATCAACGGTTATACAAAAAAAAAGTTGATTTATTGAGATAAAAGGAAGATTTTCAACTTTTCTCTAGTGTTATTCACATGGATAGTTATATGAAAGCCGTGCCGCCTGATATCATGTCTACTACGAATTTCAGTGTCGGAAGTGAAATTCAGTGCTAGACCAATTTCTTACGTCAATTGACATTGTTGACAGCATGCAGCACTGGCGAAGAGACTGCCAGCATTAAACTACAGGATAGAATTTCGATTTATAAGGGAAATGAATTGTAGAATAAAATTAGTACCGTTGAACATAAATAAGTACATGCTCTCACTTTGGTGAGAGCAACTAGCTTTAAGTCCTGCGGGAATTTCAATAAAATTGAAATTAGCAAGGTTTCCAACTTTCAGTTGGTCATTGATGGCAATCGACTGTGCAGGAAGGCAGCTTCCACACCTGCGTAGGATATCGCACCCATTCAATTCAACACACATGGGCCGGGACCAAAAGCTTTACTTCCCTTCCGTAGGAAGACGTGACCAGAGATTTTTATGCCTCAGAAAAATCCCACCGACCTCGGCTGGGATTGAACCCAGACCCATTGGGGTGAGAAAGCAGTCACGCTTACCACTACACCACCGGCGCCAGCGGAGCTACCGTCGATTGTGAATTGGGAAAGTGCGTGTTGTTTCAAATAGTAACAGTGAACATTTGTAGCATTTGAACTTCATACTAAATTTATTTAATATCTAATCATAATACCGCTACAATGTATAGAAACAATGAACAAATTTCACTCATTTTCCGATGTATGGACACTTTGTATCAAAATAAAATGTTGTACAAGTGTTAAGTGTTTCTGGGTGTCATTAAGTATGCAGAACTCGAATATGATGAAAAGTGAAATTTGAACATGTTGACCCTTTTTCTAGAATTCTAAGAAGTTCCTTATATTTTAACAAGTCGCTGAAGTCTTCGAAGCTTTTTTATTTTATAATTTATGTTATTTCTCTAAAGTTTTTGGAACTGCCCTGAGGTTCTCTGTTCTTTCATGAAATTCTAGAAACCTCACTAACGTTGTTGCAGTTTTTGTGAAGCTTGTTGTATTGTCATGAATTTGATTAAACTGTCCTGAAAATGTCTAAGCTTCCGTGAAGTTTGTTGAGCTTAAATGAAGAACTAATTCGTTAATTTTCTGAAATAAATCGAACTTTCCAGGAGATCCGAAATTTGTTTAGCATACGAAACTTCTTTGAAATGTTCGTTCATTTTCCTAATGTTCGTAAAACATTCGTGGAGTTCTTAGGTCTTCCCTAAAGTTCCATGGAATTCTATGATGATCTAGAAGTTGTTACCAAAATCTCTGAACATCTGAGAAACTTTTGAAGTGAATCAGAAATGTTTTAACTTCCCTGAAATTTATGATTCTGTTTTACGTTCCCTCATTTTTTCTGAAACCAAAACTAAATGATTAATATAGATGTAAGATTTTCAACGAATTTCTCATATCGACCACCATGACT